TTCAGGATTACACAAACACGAGGGATTACTAACCATCCAAACACACAAACACGGAAATCTCTGATAATCCGAACAAACACGAAGGCGGTGACATCCAAGTGCTGATATAAACCATTTACTCTCGTCTGTGAGATAATCATTACCCTGTTATGTGTGTCTGTGTGATGAGTCTGTTTGTTTGTTTGGTGGGTGAGGGTAAGTGTGTGTGTGGATAAGAGGATGCTTAATTCCTTGTTTGTTTAGGTGTGATATATGTTTGTTTGTTTTGTGTGTTTGTTTCTTTGGGGAATAACTGTCTTTGTGTTTGTTTGGGATATGTGTGTGTGTTTGTGTGATTGTAATGTTATTTAACGCCTCATTATCCTCTCTCTCTCTCTCTCTCTCTCTCTCTCTCTCTCTCATACAACAAAAACAGAATTCTCGAGCCAATGTTTTCATGTTTTTAGAAGAAGATAGATTGACAGTATTGACTTGAAGCGTTCCAATAATGACACGTCTCTTGTAAGGCCTTGGTAAACATGTTCCAATAATGACAGCTCGCTCGGAAACCCCCCTCACTTTTTCACTAGATTTTACTGTTTTTATGCTATTATTTTTTTGCTATTTTGTCGTTTTATAATTTTATTAATATGTAAATTTGGTTTGATTTATTTACGCGATGAATTTATTTTTCATCTGTAATTTATTTTGGTCTTTAAATCATTATTGTAATGAAAAATCTTATAATTTCGTGTTATATTAATATTGAATTTCGTATATATTTTCGTGTTGTATTTCACTTATTTTCATATTAGATTATTCTTTATTTAAATTTAGTTTTATTCAAATTTATGTTTAAAAAATTGCTTAAAATCCTGGCTTTAAAAGTATTACAAATTCTTCAAACTTTAAATTATTAAAAAAAATTTCACCAAAAGCCGAAGAAAACATTAATAAAATTTCTAAACAAGATTTTAAACTTTTGTGGAAATAATTAAAAACTTATGATGAATATTTACCCAGAAATTACGGCGGGAAGCGTCGAGTCTTCTAAAAGGTGTCAACAATGTTCCAATGATTAATTTTGTAACTTAATAATAACAAAATATGGAGAGAAACAGACAGACAGACAGGCATAGCCCACATACATACATAACCCAGAGAGAGGCCGAGAAACAGACATATATATATATATATATATAAACCTCGAGAGAGAGAGAGAGACCCCAGAGACAGAGAGATACCCCAGAGAGAAAGAGAGACAGAGAGAGACACGCACCACCAGACCACTACAATGGCGGCAGGAGTATCGATCAAAAGCCTGAGGGAGAGACACCCACTAAGTCTCTCCCTCTTACGGTGAGAGACTGAGAGAACCTTACATTATCTCTCCCTGACTGAGAGACTAAGAGACCCTTTATCTCTCCCTGACTGAGAGACTAAGAGACCCTTTATCTCTCCCTGACTAAGAGATATCAATAGGTCAAAGGTTAAGGCTGTTATATTGAAAAAATACTTTGTCCATGCGATAATTTAAGTATTTGATAACCAATAATATTTAAATTTTATAAATGTATTCCGTATGATATTCTCTAGAGCCCTATTGATTTAGAGGTCAAGAGGTCAAAGTTCAAGATCAGTATTTTGAAAAAGGTGTCACCCGGTGTGTTGGCAACCATACTCGAGTGAAGTCTGGCTGTATTTGTGTAGTTTATTGTTTGTGTCTTTGTTGCTTTTGTTTTTTGTTCTTGTTATTTTTTTTGTACTGTTTCATATTCATACATACATACATACATACATATATACTTTCGTACACATACCCTTACACACACACACACACACACACACACACACACACACACACCCTCCCTCTCACTCTGATAACATATCGAGAGTGCCGGAAATAAGACTGAGTACGAATGAGGGAGGAAGGGAGAGACTGAGAGAGAAAGAGAGAGTGAGAGAAAGAGAGAGTGAGAGAAAGAGACAGAGGGAAAGATTGATAGTGATGGAAGGAGAGAGAGAGAGAGAGAGAGAGTATGTGTTGAAAGACAAATCTCTCTCTCTCTTTCTCTCAACTGAGGCCTCATAAAGACGGTGTTGAGTGAGGCCGGGCGGGAGGTCGTGAGGTAATGTGAGGTAGCCCAAGATAGTGAGGTCAGGGCAGAAGGGGAAGGGTTGAATTTTGAGAGGTATCATGAGGTCGAGCAGGAGTCATAGAGGTAGAGAGGCCAGGCTGTGGGGTCGGGTAGGAGGCTTAGAGGTAGAGAAGTCAGGCTGTGAGGTCGGGCTGGAGACTTAGACGTAGAGAGGCCAGGCTGTGAGGTCGGGCTGGAGACTTAGACGTAGAGAGGCCAGGCTGTGAGGTCGAACAAGAGCCTATGAGGTATTGAGGTCGGGTTGCGAGAGGTAGAGGTCGGAGGGGGTGAGGTAAGAGAGGGTGTGGGAGGATGGGGGAGGGATCGAACCCCCAAGGCTCCAATAAAACGTGAGAGTGTTTGAGCAGTTCAGCCACCGTAACACACTCGCCCACCACCACCGCACTTTTCCAACTCTGGCAGAAATTTTAGGGTGGCGGTTTTATATTTCAGACAAGACCTCGACCTGGTTTTTCTTTTGTGGTTTTGTTGGGTTTTGTTGGTTTTTAAAATGGAATAAAGAATAATTTTTTTTTTGTATTTACTCCACAATAATATTTTTTATTTTTTTATTTTTTTACAAGACGTTGGGATTTTACAGGTTTAATTTCACTGTTTTTTTCTTGGTTTTTAAATGATAAAACACCAATTAATTAAGGTTTTTTCCACGTATATAAAAACAGCAAAGCTTAAAAGGACACAGACACTGTACTTAACCACGTTCACTTCCTCAACTGTAACGTCAGGTACCCATTTACAACTGGATGGACCATGGGCACCCCGGGATCGAACCAGCGTCTCTTAACCCGGTTTTAAAATTCTTGGGGTGTGTTTTAAAATTCTTGGGATGTGTTTTAAAATCCTTGAGCGTGTTTTAAAAATTCAGATACTCTTAATTATAGTTTTCCAATATGTTAAATTTACAACATGCAAATTTAACAATGGTATCACAGGAAGCCACAGCCATGAGCGACCAATTTATCACCCCCACTCAGCCCCACTCAGCCACACCCCCCACTCAGCCACACCCCCAGCCACACCCCCCACTCAGCCACACCCCCACTCGCCCCACTCCACACTCTTCCCCCTACAATCTCAAATCCTCCCCAGAGTGTTCGAATCCCTCTCAAATCCCCCTTAGAGTGTTCAAATCCCCCTTAGAGTGTTCAAATCCCCCTTAGAGTGTTCAAACCCCTCTTTGAGTGTTTAAATCCCTTTCAAATCCTCCACAAGGGTTCAGATCCTTCATTTTCCTCTCTCTGGGTTCGAATCCGTCCCCTTGTGGGTTCGAAAAAGGTTCAGGAAGAAAGATATAGAATTAAAGTGTAGTCTGTGAGGTTGGTCCCGGATATTGCCATAGCGCCACGCCGATATTGTTGTTGACAGCCGACGGCGGATCCTGTCGGGGGGATCTGTCGGGGTTTGGGGTCTGTCGGGGGTGGGGTCTGTCGGGGTGTGGGGATTGTCTGGGGATGGGTTGTCGGGTGTGGGGGGGTTTTTGGTGGGGTCTGTCAGGGTGGGAAAGGTTTGTTGAGAACTCTAGAAACTGTCGGGTGCTTTTGGGGATTTTCGGGGCCTATCGGGTTCTGTCGGAAACTATCGGACTTAAGGTGTTCTCGGGGGGTCTGTCGGGGACTTTTAGGTGTCTGTCGGAATCTATTAGAACCAGCAGACACACACAAACACATGCAAACACTCACCAACACACAAACAAAACACACACCAACACACACACACACACACAAACAAACAAACAAACACCAACACACAAACAAACACACACACAAACAAACAAATACCAACAACACAACAAACAAACACCAACACACACAAACAAACACACACAAACAAACAAACACCAACACACACAAACACACACCAACACACACACACACACACACACACACACACACACACACACAAACACCAACACACAAACAAACACACACAAACAAACAAACACCAACACAAACAAACAAACACCAACACACACAAACAAACACACACAAACAAACAAACACCAACTCACACAAACAAACAAACACCAACACACACAAACAAACACTCACCAACAGCAACAAACACAGAGGGGTCGTAATGATCTAACTCGTGGCCGCCTTTCGAGTGTTTGACTACGAAACGAACTGACTTTTAACTTTGCCACGACCTGAATAAGAATTGGGAATCTTGGAATCTTGGAATGGGAATTGGGAATCTTTTTTTTATGTTGAAGAGGGACAGGGATTTTTGGGATGCAGGGAGAGGGGAGAGTGGTTTTGGGAATATTGGAATGTGGGAATGGGAATAGGAAGGGTTTGGGAGGATTATTGGAATATGGGAATGGGAATAAGTTTCAAAGGCTATCTGGAATTGAGGAATGATATGAAATGTGAATTAGGAATCATACAGACAGACAGACAGACAGACAGACAGACATACCAACACATACACACAGGCAAACACGTGGACACACAGACAGACAGATAGATACACAGACAGATACACAGACAGACAAACAGATAGACAGACAGATAGACAGACAGACAGACAGACGCTTTTATTAAGGTAATGAACGACTTGAACTGTCAAACTCTCTCTCTCTCTCTCTCTCTCTCTCTCTCTCTCTCTCTCTGCAAATATTCAAACGAAAGGCATAAAGGAGAGAGAAAGAGAGAGATGAAGACAAAGAGAGATAGACAGACATATAGACAAATAAAGAGATAGACACAAAAAGACAGAGAGAGAGAAAGAAAAAAAATTATTACTTCCCCCCAAAAAAAGATCAATAAATCCGGCTATATTAATGACGAACGCCGACAGTGAATCCGGATTACCTCACGAATGTAAACAATAACAAGACATTTTTTTTCTCTTCCCAAACAGATCCCTATCAGATGTTTGGACCTACGAGTAGCAGATTGGCAAGTTCAGGTAAAGTACATCTGTAATTTGTACACCTGTGATAATGAGATGTACACTTGTCATAATGAGATGTACACCTGTCTAATGAGATGTACACACAGTGATGATGAGATGTACACCTGTGATAATGAGATGTACACTTGTCATAATGAGATGTACACCTGTCTAATGAGATGTACACCTGTGATGAGATGAACACTTGTGATAATGAGATGTACACTTGTGATAATGAGATGTACACCTGTGATGATGAGATGTACACTTGTAATATGTAATGAGATGTACACTTGTGATATCCTTGGTATGTACACTTTTCTGTGATGTGATGATTTACAGTTTATGTAATTAAAGTAATGTATTTTCTTTGTGTGTGTACATCTGTGGTTATGTAATGGTGTACAGTGTTATATGAAGTGTACACCTCCTCTCTCTCTTCAATAATAAATTACTAACAAATTCCTTCCTATTGTGGACTTCTGTGACAACTACCACCATTATAACACCACCACTACTACCATTACTATCACCATACTACCACCACCACTACTGCTACTACCACCACTACCACCACGACCACCACTACTACCACCACTACCACAAAGAGCGCCGTGGTAGTGGCAGCCTCGCGTGGTCTCTGGCCTTGCTGGGGGTAAGATCAATGCTTGCCCTGGTGGTGGTGGTGGTGGTAGTGGTGGAGGTGGTGGTGGTGGTGGTGGTGGTAGAAATTTTGATAGTATCATATCTATCTATATTACTCACACACACACACACACACACACGCATACACACCTCTCTCCCACATACACCTCCTACACCCCTCCCCTCCCCTCTCCCCACCCTCTCTCTCTCTCTCACAACCCCTCCCCACCCTCCCCTCTCACACACCCCTCCCTTTTCCCCTCCCCCTCTCTCCCCTCCTCCCCCCCCCCTCCCCTCCCTCTCCCCACCCCTCCCTCTCTCCCCTCCTCTCTCCCACCCCCTCCCACCTCCCTCACGCCCCTCCCTCTCCCCCTCTCCCCTCTCCCTCCCCTCTCCTCTCTCACACCCCTCCCCACCTCCCCTCTCCCCCCCCTCCCTCTCCCCCCTCTCTCTCACCCCCCTCCCACCTCCCCTCTCCCACACCCCCTCCCCTCTTCCCCCCTCTCTCTCTCTCGTACAACCCCTCCCACCTCCCCTCTCCCACACCCCCTTTCTCTCACCCACTCATCACTGTCTCTCTCCCATACAGGCTCAGGACAGATTCAACTTTGGCAGTTTCTCCTTGAACTTCTGTCAGATTCTTCCAACGCTAACTGCATCACGTGGGAAGGGACCAATGGCGAGTTTAAGCTGACAGATCCGGACGAGGTGGCTAGACGCTGGGGAGAGAGGAAGTCTAAACCAAATATGAACTACGACAAGCTCTCCCGGGCATTAAGGTGAGTGGGAGAGGGATGAGAGGGACGTGGGAATGAGAGGGATGAGTTTAATTCTGTCTAAAATACATTCTTTCTCCCACAACTGTCTAAACCACGCCACTATCACCCTTACAGATACTACTACGATAAGAACATCATGACCAAGGTACACGGCAAGAGATACGCCTATAAATTCGACTTCCAGGGTCTAGCAGCGGCCACCCAGCCAGCAGGAGCCGACCCTACAGCCTACAAGTACCAGAGCGATTTGTTTATGTCCTCCTATCACCCAACTACCAAGCTCAATTTCATGAGTACCCACACTGGTATACCTTCTTCTGCAGGTAGGTACTCGGTGGGTGGGTGTGGGTGGGTGGGTAGGGTGGGTAGGGTGGGTGGGGGGTAGTTTGAGAGAAAGAATTTGTTGTTTTTTACTATAATCATCATTTTTTTTTAAGTGTCATCATTAAAGTCATTATCATCATCATCATCATCATCTTCACCATCACCATAATTTAACACCTATCTCCATCTCTCCAACAGCCAGCATATTTCCATCTCCAACATCCTACTGGACTAACCCCAGCGCTAATCTCTACACTAACATAGCTGCAGCATCAGGACACTCCATGACGCATCACCCCTCCCACATGACGTCACACATCTCCTCAGCCTATCCGCATTACGCATGACAGTCTCTCTTCTCCAATTGGTGCACACAACAATCACGTGAGTCCGTCTCCTTACCTGATTGGTCATCGACATTTCAGCAGGTAACAAATATTGAGGAACAGTAAACAATATAAACAAGAGGAGAGACTGTTTACAGGAAGGCACTTGAGGGTATACTTGTTTACTGTACACAACATCCTCCCCTCGCCCCTCAAGATGTAAACAATGTGGGATAGCACTGTTTACAAAGGCCAGATAAAGAGATATATCTCAAATATATATAATAGATGAATTTTTTGTTTGTTTGTTTACTTAATAATGATTTGATTATTAGGTAAATTTTTGACTATGTTATTGTGTTCATACCTGTGTGTGTGTATATAGTGTGTATATTGGTGAAGCCTTGGTGACGGTGAAGCTCTGGTGACAGTGAAGCCTTGGTGACGGTGAAGCTCTGGTGACAGTGAAGCCTTGGTGACGGTGAAGCTCTGGTGACAGTGAAGCCCTGATGACAGTGAAGCCTTGGTGACGGTGAAGCCTTGGTGACGGTGAAGCTCTGGTGACGGTGAAGCTCTGGTGACAGTGAAGCCCTGGTGACAGTGAAGCCCTGGTGATGGTGAAGCCTTGGTGACAGTGAAGCCTTGATGACAGTGAAACCCTGGTGACAGTGAAGCCCTGGTAACAGTGAAGCCCTGGTGATGGTGAAGCCTTGGTGATGGTGAAGCCCTCGTGACGCTCTGGCTGTGACAGTGTGACGATCAGATGAACTGAAGCAGCGTTGCCACACCTTACAGAACAGTGGTGCCACGTCTCATGTTGCCACGCCCACTTTCAAAACCTCACAAGAGGCTCTCACTAAAGCGCCATTGCCACGTTTACATTCGACATGGTGCCATATCTTACACTGGTGCCACGCCTACTTCCTACAGTGGTGCCATGTTTCCAAATACACCAAGGTAACGCCCCACAGTGGTGCCACATCTTTAAGAGGCTTTTACTAGAGGTACACGAGGCGCTGGTGCCACATTTACACCGCACAATGGTGCCACATGTGGTGGGGTCAGTGGTGAGTGCTAGCAGTGTTGCCAGATGAACATAAAAGTTCATGTTACACCTTACAGTGGTGCCGTATCTCACAAGGCACTGGTGCCACGTGTAATTCAAACAGTGGTGCCACTTCCCCAGTAATTCAATGTTACCATCTCACAAGACACTGTTGCCATGTGAACTTTAAACAGTGTTGCCAACTTCTTTGCTCGCTCAGTGTTACCATATGTACAGCAGACAGTGTTACCAATATCTGGGTCACACAGTGTTACCACATATACACCCGACAGTGCTGCCAACTTCATGGGCGGGGTCAATGTTTAGTGTGGACAGTGTTGCCACATCTGCTGGTGTAGTCAAACGTCTAGTCAGCTGTGGGCAGTTGTCAACCCACATGTTAAGTGATAACCTCTGTATATGTAGCTATCATCTAGTCCAGTTTACCCTCTGTCTGTATGGCTGTTTGTCTGACTGGCTGTAAGATTGTCAGTCGGCCTGTAATGAGTATGTGTATGTATGTATGTATGTATGTATGTATGTATGTATATAAACCACAATTAAACCATTGACCAAAAGTATTCCCACATGTAAACCATATAGACACCTGATTCCCATTCCCAATGTATCTTGGAATCTTGGAATATTCCCGTAAATGAGTGAAAATGATTGTAAATATTTGTAAATAAGGAAATGATGACTACCATAGATTTACTTTTATGGTTATTTACAAGTTTTATTAATAATGATGACGTCACTGAGTCAAGATTTACATTGTGACGTGACTTCATTCATTTACTTCCTAGACCTTGACTTCATTTACGGACTCCATCTTCCGAGTTGATTTACATAATACAAAAAATTATGAATGTGTATGTATAGTTATTTGTAATGTCTATGTTTGTAATTTATATGTGTTTATATACAAATGTTATAGGTTAATCTATGTTAGGTTAGGGTAGGTGAGGTGAGGCTACGTCAGGGTAGGTGACCTTAGATTAGGAAAGCTTAGGTTACGTCACGTCAGGTTAAATTAGATAGGTTAGGTTAGGTCAGACTATTTATCATAAAATCTCAAAATATTTATCAGAAAAACTCATAATTGCAGTTCTTATTTTTTTTATATAATTTTTAACATCATACGAAATCCAATATCATTTTCCTCTTATTTATTTGTTCTCTATTTCTTCTCTTCTATTAAGTTCTATTAAGTCATCATGGTGGGTGATTACTGTGAGGAAAGTTATATATTTAAAGCGCATTATTGGAACCTGCGCGCGTTTTGGGAAGTTTAATCTGATAATGGGAGAATTTTGGTTGGTCTGTGTGTGTTAGGGAGTAAGTATGTAATATTCTCTAACATACGCAAGTGAGTGAGGTAGATACTGCGCAGATTTTATTAAATGCGCTAGGGTGTGAGGTTATTCTGCGCAGGTTGTATTAAATGCGCTCGGGAGTGAGATAGACTCCTATATTGCGCCATTTCTTATGTAGCGCAGAGGAGTAAGGTAGGATATTATAATGCGCATGTTTTATTAATGCGCTGGTGGGTGTGTGTGTGGTTGGCTCCTGCAATGCGCTGTTTCTCATAAAGCGTTGTACATATTATGGAGCCTCCTCAGTGCGCAGGATTTAAAAATAATGACGAAAATCACCTCAAATTACCAACGTCGTAATGGTTCCAACAATACGTTTCAACCCTCTCTAATAATAATAATACTAATAATAATAACATTAATAATAATAACAATAATAATAATAATAAAATAATAATAATAATATTTAAGCCGACGATCAATGTACAAACCTTTCATGATATTTTAACAGTAGATATTTAGATTAATGATCCCTCGGTGTTTACGATCGTGTGTGTAATGAATTCAAAAGCTAAATTAAGGCTGAATAATGAATAATAATAATAATAATATTCTTATTTCCATGCGTGTGTTTTCTGCCCCATTGTTGTGTTGACTTCAATGTTTACATAAAAAAACGAAATAAAATGTACATATCCAAAAAAAAAAAAAATAATGTGTTTGATTTGACTCGCCTTTGGGATTGACGCCATTTTGGTTGGTGACGTCATCATATGGAGGATTACTTCTTGGACCGAGTTGAGGTAAGTGTTGCTCGTGTAAAAGTGACTATATCATCTTAAATATATTTATCTCGATATATTTGACGCTTAAAATAGTTAGTTAAGGATCTATAGCAATATATCAAAAGTGGATTTAAGTGAATAGTTAGGTAAATTAGAGAGAAAAGTGCTAGTATAATATCTGATAAATTTGTTGACGTGGTAAGTAACGCTGACAGGAAACACGTCGATGAAGACACATTAATTACTCTAATTAATCTGTACAATGACAACAATTAATTTAACAATATTATAGAGATTAAATTATTATTATTTTTTTGGTCCATAGATCCATAAAATAAAAGAGTGAGTTAGAGATATAACGACATGAGCGACGATACCTGAGGTGACCATAACGCCGTCCAGTCCTGCCAACAACTGAGGTAAGCTCTTGATATTTTCCCTCTGTCTCTCTGGTTCAGTATTTTGTTAATTGTTTTTTATATTTTATTAATGGGTATATTGGATATTATTTTATAAGTATAATTATGTACTGTTTATCGCTTACGGTATGTATTGTCTAGGTTTGGCGGAGGTGACGGCCACACGTGCTGTCTTAACGTGGTTCACTGAGTAGACAGGTTCTGGGGGGTCAATGAGAGGTTTACCAAGGTAGATGAACTCATGTCGCATTTCTTCATCTGGTCCGTTGTAGCGTTTGTTTGGGCCGCCAGCAAAACATTGACCCTTATGCAGTTAGCTGTAGAGTATCTTTGGTGGCGAGGCTCTTCAGGTGTTCGGATGGCGTGTCCGAGCCAGTCAAGTTGGTGATGATGGACAGCAGTTGGTTCTATGCTGTTGTGTGTGGCAGCCGGTGATCCCATAATGTGTTGCAGACATGTGGAATGTTTCATGTGGCGGCTAGAGGTCGTCCATTCTTCATTGCCTGGTACAGTTATCTTCGTTGTCGTAATTAAGATACTGTTTTGTATGACTCGTTTCCTCACTACCAGAGGTGGCCGAGGTTTGTATTTCCTCATCTGTGTTATAATAAAGGAAGGTTCCTAAATACTTAAAGGTTGGCAAGATGGCCAATACATTCTCACCAACAGCCACAACTGGTGACTCAGGTAACGCCAGTCGTCCGCTGGCAGGTGACACTAGAGACGTACAGCCTCTAGTGTGCGCCACAAGGACAGACACACGCATATGTACACGAAGTTACACAACTATATGTATACACACGTACACAAACTTACACTTATGTACACACATACAAACACAACTTAGGTATACACACATCTCGACCACATATACACACACACACAGACTTATGAACACACACACACACACACACACACGGGCATCTCAGGTTAAAGATGTCATCTCTATACGCGAGACGAGACCCACCGCCTCCCAAACCTCTTGAAACCGCCCACGCCATTGGCTAAGAGATCACCTCCTGACGTTCCACTTGAGACGGCTCACCTCATTGGCTAATGGATTAAGAGCTGTTCGTCTAGTGGTTAACTGCGCGGTAAAAATAGCCAATAAGATTTATCGATATCTGGCCCCAAGGGATTTGTAAACAAAGCAGAATTTACTTGTTTTTTACGACAAGGTTAAATATGGAGTGGTTTTGTGTCCGTGATTTACAATGGCTGTAAATGTTTCTTGATATCAGTAAATGATTGTAAATGTTTCTTGATGTCTGTAAATGGTTGTAAATATCTCCTGGTGTCTGTAAATACATGTAAATAAACCTCATTTTCCAGAACGGTTGATTTAGTCAGTAAATTAGTTATATATCTTATAAATTTAACACGAAGATGTAAACTTAAAATTTCTTAAGTTACAAAGTCATTATTAAACGTGATGTTAAAATGGTGTTTGTAAATGCGTAGTTTATGTTAACGTTTTCACGAACATGTTAATAATTCTTGTAAATGAGTTACAAATGTTAAAATATCAGTCAGACGTAAAATTAACATCTGTAGCCGTGTCATTTACATCAATTTAAAATACACCTGTAAATTTAGTCTTGTAAATGAGTTAACCGTCCTAGGTTTAATACGTCCGATTGTAAATTTAACATGAAGTAAATTAGTGAGTGTAAATGATCTTTTAACTCGTGAATTTAATTTAACGTCAACGTTAATCTACTCTAGTGCTGAGATTAACATTACGATTGACAGCTGTGTTTAAAAGCTATAATTTAACATCACATATGGCCACAGATATGATAAAAGCTAAAAATTAACACTGATATTAAAACACAAAGGAAAGCTATGTATTGACCTCAATGTTAGCATAGCTATGATAAGTTATATTTAACGTAGCAAATTATGTAATCGCGTTAAAATGAGCGTTACGCTTCATAGCTCTGGTAAATTTAACCCCGAAAGCTAAGTTTAACAGCACAGGCTATGTTAATGTGGTGGACAGCTAAAATTAACCACCACAAGCTCTGTTAATGTGGTCGGCAACTAAAATTAACACGATCGTAGATATAAACGGGTTAAAAAAGCTAAATTTAACGAAAGAACTGAACAAGAGAAGCTTAAGGCCACCACAGCTAAACCACAACCTCGAGACTGCTATACTCAGCTAAGATGGCCAGTGAGAGAAACTGCTAGCTATATCTACTGTACCTTTAGCTGCTAAGATGTGTACGTGTGTTTGTCCGTGTAAGTATGTGTACGTCCGCATCTCTGTGTGTGTGTGTGTACCAAGCTAGGACTCCCTCTATTGATCCAATGAGAGACGACCATTGGTCTCATACACCGTTTCCCATTGGTCAGTGGCGCCGTCCCGCAGCCAATCACCGGTGAGGGGTGGATAACATCCGACCAATAAGGAGGGGGCGTTCCCGGATCAATCGCGTGTGTGTAGGTGTGTGTGTGTGTGTCCCCCTTATCTCGCCTTGTGTGTCCGCTCTTTAAGGGATTTTAGGGAGAATTTAGGGTGAGATTTAAGGGAGGAAATGGCGGAGACGAATACATAGAGAAGGAGACACTGAGAGATAGAGGAAATAAGAGAAAACGAACGAGATAGAGAGAGAGAGACCCGACTTGGTATACCTGGGATTAAAGAGAGAGTGAGAGTGAGAGAGAGAGAGAGAGATAAGGTGGAATAAGAGACAAATATGAGAGACAGAGACACAGAGAATAAAGTGGTGTATTAACGTGTATAAGATAAGGTTGATAAAGCAAGGAAGAGGTAGATAGAGATAATAGTGAAAGGGCTGCGACACGAACGGGAATTATTACGTACATGTTTACCTACATATGTGCACATGTTAAGGTGCATACACACATACGTACATATTCACTCTTATGTAAGCTACACGTACACATACAGGTATACGCACATTCATACACACACATTTGTACTTGTTTATATACATATATACACAGACAAATGCGTACATATACATACATACATACATACATCCATACCGTACCGTTCCGTCAACACACACTTTCCTGCCCCCCCCCACACACACTCCCCCGACACACTTCCTGACCCCTCCCTGACACACTTTCCTGCCCCCCCACACCCACACACCCCTGACCCCCCCTCCTCCCCCACACACACTTCCAAGACATCGCTCCACGGTCGTATGCAAATCAGCTCCTTGGTAAAGCCGTATCAATTAAGCCTGTGTAATATCTCCCTGTGTCTCTCTGGGGGAGACAGAGAGACCCCCCAAGAGATTACCATAACAATGAGATGAGTTTGAGATTGTGGTTGGAAGTTGATTGTATTTAGTCTCTGTCTGCCTGCCTGTACTACTACTTTGCTGTCACTGTGAATCGAGTATGACGATCATCCAGCTATGGTACAATGATATGAGTTATTAGGTATGTCACCCAGGTTGGTGAGTTTTGAGGTGACTAAAGAGGCCGATACGGGACCAGCAGCGTCGTCCACATTCGTTGCACATGTGGAGGGCTGCATCTACTGCGGGAGGGGCGGTGGCAACGTCTTTCCGGCGTTGGCGCTTGTCTACCTCGGTTTGCAGTCGGGCTAGCTCGAAAGTATTGACACTTTCTCGTGTGATGCTCCTCCAAGAGTTACGGTGTGGAGTAATCGACTCCCAGGTGAGGGGTCGATTTGGCACTTTCAGGTTTGTCTTAAGACTATCCTTATACCTCTTCAGTTGCCCGCCGGCATTACGTTTACTATTCGTTTGGTGACTGTAAAGTAGCTGCATGGCAGTCTACTGTCGTCCATGCGGGTAACATGGTCAGTCCAACGTAGTTGTTCATGGATAATGGTAGCCTCGATGCTCCTACAGTTGGTGTCAGCAAGAATACTGGCATTTGTTCTCTTGTCTTCCCAACGAACTCGGAGGATGGAACGTAGACTCCGTTGGTGAAAGTTTTCAAGTGGCGGATGGCAAAGCCAACTCCATAAATGCGGTTTCTCTCAGCAGCAGACTTACCCTTCCAGAAGAAGGTGTAGCCCGTCCTGTGAGTTGGCCCTCATCTGGGAGCCGGGACTTACTGACGGCTGCTATGTTGATGTTATACCTATCGAGTTGTTTTGCCACAAGAGCAGTTCTTCTATCAGGGCGATCACTTGTGCCAGTATCCAGAAGGGTCCTGACACACCAAGCAGCGACCATAACAGGTTGTAGGGTTTGTTTTTGTTTGGATCTGTTATTTTGGTTGTGTTTTCGACCACATAAGGATGACCTTACTGGGTGCGGTGGCCCAGTCAGGTTGGGGGTCTGTCTGTCTGTCTGTGTCTGTCTGTCTGTCTGTCTGCCTGCCTGCCTGCCTGCCTGCCTGCCTGCCTGCCTGCCTGCCTGCCTGCCTGCCTGCCTGCCTGCCTGCCTGCCTGCCTGCCTGCCTATACATACATAAACCGTATAATTGTCTCCTGGGGTAGATAGATAGGTAGACCGGCAGATAGGTAGA